GTGTATAAATACATTCAGAAAATAGATCCAGACACTATGTTGTCTACGTACTTCTTATGAAATAGCTAAGTTATAAGCTAGGGGGCTACGTGGAAGGATTTCGGTGCTTGAACTGCAATAAAAATTTGTAGGGCAGATAGTAAATGAAAAAATTGGCAACTTCAATTAGTGGTATAAGTGAATGAAAATAAATTTAAATCCTTTACGAAATAGAAACCAATAACCCAGCAAGGAGGAAAGGAGAGAGATGGGAGCAGAAGAGTGTTTCAAAGATGTAAAAGAGACAAACATAAAGGTAGAAAAAGGTGGGTGAGTACTATGGAAGTAGTCGAATATGACATACAGTGGGGTGAAGCTAGTTTAAAGTTAGAAGTCAATTGGTGGTTTATAGACATTTTTGCCGCATTAGTTTACGTTGCTCGGGGTGCACCAGGTAGAGGTAAGTCTACGTACACCCCAAATTTTCAATATTAATGTTAAAGGCCAATCGCTTTCTTGTTAAATTTATAACCAATGATAACCCAATTTCTCCTAATTAAGGAATCACCGTCACTATTACATCTGTGCAAAATTCAAAGACAAGCAAGTTAACAAATCACTCTTGATGAATTGAATGGCACGGTTGCCATCGCATCATCTTTGGTTAGATAACACGACGTGTTTGCAGGAAGAAAGAGAATGCTTCATCTTCAACTACTCTTTTTAAAAGTAAGTAAAGCTCTTGTCCTTACCCTTCAATAAGATTTAATAATTTATCAGAATTTTACACGGGTAAAAGTTTCTACTTTTGATCGAAGACTGGACCGATGACAGTTTGACATGGCTAATAGGGTGTCAAAATGAAATCCAATTTATGTCCAATATTTGGGACAAAAAGCCCTCAAATTAGCTTGTAGCAACTTTTGTTGAGGAGCGTTTGAGATAAATGTCAATGACCTTTCTTTATCTTCAACATGTAAGACAATTTCCCATTGACAATAGTTTGGATAATTTCGTAATATTTTATGACTTCAGACTAGCACTTAAAAATCTTTAAAAAACACGAGGTGTTCGTTAATTGTTCCTGAAAGTAGAATGTTAGTAATGCTATGAATATTGGATTTGTGATTCCGATCTAGAAAATTTCCTGAGTATTGGCAGATGAAAATAATTATCGAATAAATAAACGGCAATAATCTATTTGTTAAATTAAAATATACTGCGTTCTATGTATAATTTTAACTAATAATGGGAATGGAAAGGCACCGACACTGTTAAGCAACTCATAGTAATATTTTTCAACTAGTTTCAATAGTCCCCCACAGAAAGATCGCTAGAAAATTAATTATAAATAACTATAGGGAAAATGGTATAGTTTATGATTTTTCAAGATAAATAAGTATGCTCAATACTTCGTATAAATAAGCAGTTGTTTTTTGTACGTAGAAGTTAGAAGTTAAAATCATTAAACGAAAAAGGCAAGAAATGTGCCCTTCCTGCGGAGTTCTAATAATTTTTGAGTTCCGTGTCATTCTCACATAACTGAAAGTTAATCAATCAAAAAATCTTATCCTCACGTTTATAAAATCCAGAAACTTAGATTAGGTAAAATATCTAATTCCAGCACAATACATTAGTTTACTATATTCAATCATTTGAAAAATGACCAAATCAAATTATAATTGAAAATTTCACTCAAAAATGAATAATGCCATTTTTTGCGATTATTTACTTTATATTATCGATTCTTGATTATTCACAGGACTAATTATTTTAATTTGACATTTTCGTTCCGCCCCATACAGTCATTGCCAATGAAATTGCGTGGCCAGGGCGTGAAGTTGACATCAGCCCACTTGCAGCACAATTTGAGGAGTATTCTAGACGGAATCAATTCTCTCGTCACTGATATATCAGATAATTCTATTGCATCGCAATCTCTCCACCGAGTCTCTTACTTAACACGCTTACAAGAGGAGCAAAGCATAAACAAAACTTACGATAACATTATTTCCTTGAACAAGCTTGTCGAAGACCTCACTGTCGAACAAGAAAAATTACAGTCTACTGCAAATCAGATAAGCGAGCTTTTATAAATTTCTAATGGAAAGATCATTGCCCAACATTCTCATTACTGGGATTCCGGGATGCGGTAAAACTACACTAGGAACTGAACTCGCTCGTGTTAGTGGTTTGCATTATGTCTCGGTCAATGATATTGCAAAAGAAGGTGACTTATATGACGGATATGATGACGCAAATGACTGCCATGTTCTTGATGAAGATCGAGTAGTTGACGAAATTGAGCCGCTGATGCAGGAGGGTGGACAGGTATTGTAGATTTTATCAATTTATGTTTTTAGATTCTTGATTATCATTCCTGTGATTTCTTCCCCGAACGTTGGTTTGATGCAGTCTTTGTACTTCGCACTGACAATCAGATACTTTACCCGAGACTGAGCTCTCGTGGTTATAGGGAAAAGAAGATCCAGGATTTGATTCATTGTGAAATCGTGCAGGTATGTTTGTGTTTGTTTACTATATTTGATTGTCTTAAATTTTCGGTTTTTAACGTCTTGTTTACTTAGGTTGCTCTGGATGAAGCCCGTGAATCCTATGATACAGAAATTGTTCATGAATTGCAGAGCAATGTTATGGACGACCTAAATGAGAATGTGAACAGAATTGTTGCCTGGATTGAATTGTGGAAAAAAGATCATGATAAGTAAATCGGTTGTACAATATATTTATATTTGCATAATTTCTGTGTTTCCCAGAATGTTTGCTGCTTGAGTGGTAAAGTAGATGGTTACCATAAATTTAATGGTGCACCTCATCTGTTATTAATTCTTTTGTCGGTAGCCATGAATTTCTGTTTTGGTCCATGACTTCTGAGCTAATGTGGAAAGATGTGTTAGATTTTTGTTTGGTTGTGCCTATGCGTTTTGAAACCAATTCATCGGGTTGATACTAATTCTTGGCTTCATCAGACTTCGAAATACCGCGCCTTTGCTGAAGATGAGTGTTTGAAAACGCTTAGGAGTTAATATTTAAAATTTTCAACGCTAAAGGTGATATACCCATTAAGACAACTCTAAGGTACTTTTAGAAGCTGGTCCTTAAGTGTTCATCTCGGGTTCTAGACTTGAGGCAACAATGACTATTTCTACTATGGACATTAATATAACACTTTTGCTTTCACAAATTTTTTACACTTTAATAACCGAATGTGAGTAAATGGGTTTCGTGACGTCAGATTTGACCAACTTGTATACTATTTTTCGGTATAGGATGAATACCTTTATTGACAGCTACTGAGTCGCTATGGAGTGATAATCATGGACTTAGCAGCCGCAGAAGACGAAAGTGGTTACCTGGAGAGAAAAGTGGTAGTCATGTAAACCAGCAAATCCAAGCCGTAAATAGTGTAATTTAGTAGGTTTTTATAACGTAGGAAAATGATACTCTCTAAAGATAGAAGGATACCATATAAGAGTCAGTTGAATGTTTGAACTCTCCTCAATGTAAACCCTCCCTCCATGACTTTTGGGCTCATAAAAACGTTAAGCACCGTCAGTTGTTAAAAAAAACAGCACATTCAACAGTAAATGTGTCAAGCAGCCCTTAGCACTAACAGGGCGAGATTTTAATTCGAAAAAAACATTTCGTGACATATCATGTACACAGTGGGACATTTAAGGGAGTGGAGATTTGTTAATTTCTTTGAATGCAGCGCCCGGACAAGCCACACCACCAATCACTTCCTGGCATGACGCATTTGCGCGGCGGCGGCTGCAGCCATAGTTGGGGGTGAACCCTCACTGGTACCCCGATGAGTAGATCGATGATGGCGATGACTTCCACCGCTGCCTCCGGCCGGTGACCTACGACGCCCTCTATGGTCTGCACTACTCTCTTCAGATAATCCCCGACCTCCACTTGAACCACCTGAAGCAAAAAATGTAATTGAGCAATTGGTAGATAGCTAAAATTAATATTTTCCAACCCAATTTAAAACTGATGCCTTCGTTAAGAAAAGAGATCGGTTTATTGGAATGGGATAATCGAAGAGATCTAGGACAAAAACCGGAACCTGACAAAACTAAGAGCCATATTTCACACAGAGAAGGATCCAATTGAATGTTGTTAAATAATGGGGTTTTGCAAAACTAAGCCGTCCAAACATTTCGAAGTTCACACGCGAAAAGCGGGAAGAAAAAGATTGCGGTTTAAATTTACAAATAGTGGCCGCAAGAAAAATTTAAGCAGAGAAACAAGGATAGAAAAGTAAAAAATAATTACGAGAACTTATTTCCTACGGAGTATAGTTGATAAGCGCTACCACTATATCTTTCGTAGTGAACACAATGCATCCTATGGGAAAAGAGACACTTCATTAATTACTAGTGTCAACCTAAGGTGAGGATTTCCGTCCAGTTAGCCAATAAGAAAAAGGCAAATAGAAATTTTGTCGATTGGAAAGTTCGTGAACAATACGAAATCCATCTAGATATTCAGATCTCACACACAACTAATGTATTGTATGATTAATGCCACTGATTAAAACTGGTCAAGAATTAGTAACCATCAAGTTGATACTAAAGAAAAAGGTTGGAAGATGCTTAGTTACCATTAATCTCCGATTAAGATGAGTCCCCCCCCTCCTATTAAAACCTTATGAACGCTATAAAATAGTTAATTTTCAACCAGCCGAAGTATCCAGAGGCCATTCAATTGGAAAAGGTAAGAAAACTAAAAAGGTTTGATTACCAAACGGTGAGTTAGCCATAGAGTAGCCCACCTCGTATCCTTGAAAACCAGTAGGAATCTGAAGTACCAAATGACTATGCTTTATACACGCCTGTTTATTAGACAATTCGGAAACATTACTGTGTGAGAACTAAAACCACTCACCCTTTTTAGATCTCTTCGCAAGGGACGCACTGACCCCATGCATATCATCAAGATCAGAATAACCACCCTCTCTTATTGCACCACGAGCATCTACATCCACACCAGCAGCATTTCCAGATCGCTTGCGTTGCATTCGACGCAGATCCTTCGAGGAGAGCGAAGCAGGAGAAGAATCCTCGTCAACTTGTTGCTGCTGCTGAGAAGATTCTGTGATTCTTGCGCGCTAGATGGGTGATAAAATAGCTATTTAATTGAAGGTTTCACTTAAAGCACATATATGAGAAGAATATGTTATTGATTATCATGACGTGATGATGATAATTTGATAGTTGGATATAATGTAAAGGATCTGTTTTGATATTTGATGCTCAATTGAGCTACGAAATCCGATATCGTACTAAGACCCCAGATAGTTCAAAGGATAAATGCACTTTACTAAACTTATATTTACTCTGACTGTATACCCCAGTTCAAGACATGCACAATCTAATAACACTCATCCAGCCCACTTATTAATCCTGTTGTTTCCCACTATTCTTGCTGAATAGCATTCATGATAGCCTTAACATCTCTCCACATCTGCATGTGGTGACGATCCTAATAAGTTAGGTGAGGTGATAGTTTAAACGGGCTCTATTGCCCAGGAAGTAGAACATTAATTTGAGTGCAATTCGGTTGATTAAAGTACGCTAAGGACCAGGTCTAATATAAAGTGTGGAATGATTCCGACCGCTAACCAAATTACAAGTGGCAAGTCATGATCTCCAAATAGCTAACGATGGTATTTAGACTTGATTAAATCGGGATTATACTCTGGGGATTGAGAGACAACGCCCCTATTGTGATTTCTAAAAGAGAAGGGTGATTAGGATGTACTTTATTCAGTTATCAATTCATAAATTCAAACAAAAGTCAAATAACGCCGACCTCACCAACACATTATGCTGGCGATGTAAGCTTAGAATAGGCTAAGAGACATGCCTAGAGGTCGATAAATTCAAGTAATTACACATTGAGTGGAGACATCACAGAGCTAACATTATTACTCAAACACGACACCATATTTATTAACCTATGTAAATGGTTCAGTTTATTGCGACAATTAGGACTTAGTCCACACACAACAGCAAACCATTGCAACAGTCGGTTTTACAGAAAGCTCATTCTCAAAGTCAGTTAGATTGAAAAATACGAATTCGCTAACAAAGGATAAGCAAGTGGTGTACATAAATGAACTAATAAGAAGACATTTCATGTCAACTCACCTTAGCAGAATGAGCACGATCCGACGAAGTCTTACGATGCTTCCCTTCTAATTTGAAAATTAAAAAGTTAATTGCAATAACATCATCGCTATTGGCAACCAATAATAGCACAATAGCAATTAGAGGGGAATGGAAAAGAACAGAGTAGAGTAGAGGGGGGAGTGGAACTTAAAACGTATATGAAAAGCATACGAGAAGATTTCGCAACCGATTGGCTCACTGCTATATAATTAAAGGCAAATACCACTTAATAATGTTTAAAGGGGTTTTATGAGTAATTTTAGGCAAAAATTCATTGCTACCAACCTCGCAATTCATCGCTAGAAACGTGCTCAATTGAAGGTGAATTTCCAGCTTCACTAAAATAAAAAGGGAAAAAAGTGAGAGCCAGTAGATGAAAAAATAACAATGAAGAGTCAGTATCTTACAAGGGAGCAACACGCTTTTGTGCTGAATTTGTGGCTGGAGTTTTGGCGGTCTTGTTACCAGTTGGAGTGTTACCGGCGGATTTTGACACTAAAAATTAAACAATAAGAAAGTCAGTACATTGAAATAAATCAAGGCACCTTTAATTTCGACCGAATGGGAACTAGATAGTTCGTCTCTCTTTTAATCAACATACAGTCTAAACAGAAACATGGCCACATCTTCCCAAATCTAGCTTTAAATAACCACTAGAGTACTTTGCAAGTCTTCCCAAGCATTAAATCGATAGCGTAGTTATGGATTTACAAATCGGTCAAATCAGTGGCTACGAGGTCGATGGTCTTATTAGCGTACAATGCTGCCCTGGAATGGTCAATAGAAGTGGTCGTGGAATATTAAAATCAAGAAAAGTCAATACTTGCCGTTTGCGGCAAGCTTTATGTATCTTGTGTTCAAGGTGGGACACAGAATATATTCCGGAAAATAAGCACCTTAATGAACTGACAAAACAAAGTCTTAGAACAGAAACCTAATCAAATATAAATTGCTTAGTTAATCTGACGTCTTCCATCTTCGAACCTAACAACTTAATGATATTAAAATAGGGATAATTATCTCTAGCTTTACCGTTAGCAGCTTAATGCATGTAGACATCCCAGTAAAAAGCACTAACAATGCGCTACAAGTTAAGCAGTTACATAGTACTAACAAGGGGAAAACAAAAAGGAGTGTCTAATGCCCTTCAACATGACTTCCAGCTCACCCAATGCAACCTCCACCTAAACACGATTTATTTAAATGCTCGTCACACATATATTTTTGACAAAGTAAGTTCAATCCTCCGCTGGATGGTGATGAAAATGTATGCCTATAACGATAGTGGTTTCGATCCTAGACATCGTGGGATATAATCGGCAATCAGAATGACCGCCAGTGACCAGAGGTGAAAATGAGATACTTCTTACATGAACCTTAGATCTATTAATAAAAATGGGTAAATATATTAGTCTCAGAGATCAAAGGACACAAAGTGGGTGGTCAACCGCAATAGTTAAATCCGACTAATGAAGGGGGTGGTAGATTTCGAATTTCCGACTGAGAATTCAATGACGTTAGTACTTTGGCTCAAAAAGAGTGTTGGAAAGTGCTTGCTAAAATGGGTTTGGGAGTTATTACCAAGAACTCACCAGATGTAGAATTGTTTATAGTTCCAGTGGTGTTTGCGCCAGCTGTGGGGGTGGAAGTTGACACGGATTCAGAACATTGAGAAGAGGATTTGGTTGTTGTTTGAGAACTCAAAGACGCAGCGTTAGCTGAAGAGGAAGAGGCTGCAGTAGTCTGGCCTTGTTGCTGTTGAGAGGTGCTTGCAGCTGATGGTGGGTTTCTCAATGAAATCGCGACTGGATCGGGTCTCTGCTCCTTGAGATGAATTTGAGACTCGGTTACCCATGTATCCTTCATAGGACGTAACAAACCGGCGTAGCTAAAGGCCATAACCTGAAATTGCAGGTAAAAATTTCGTTAGAAAAAGAAAAAAATGGCAACTGAATCGGGCGTTTCAATGAAAAGAATTGCGATTTCTCCCGGTAATGTTAAGAGTTGCACACTTTGTACCCACTCCTAAACATGTTCATCTGCTTCTCATCATAAGGAAGTTGTTACTGAGGAATTCGATGCAAGAAAAGCTAGCATTCATACTGATCTAGCGACTATATGATAGCTCAAAACCAGAGTTAATAAATTAGTGCGCAAAATTTCGTCCCATAATAGCCATTTTAGGTCCGCTTAATACTAAGATCTTAGTAAACAATTCGACGAGCAAGATGGACATTTACGTAAGTGGAAAATAAGAAATCCCAGACATGACTAGGAGAAAATAATCAAAACCTCAAGTGGTGTCCAGACTTGCCTTAAGATCCGGTCGTTTGTCCTTCTCTGACTCCTTGAGTTTATTGACCCTGCGTTCAACGGCCATTCCGAATTGGTCAACTTTAGGATAGTAGGGCAGGATTCGAGTGAGCACAATGAGTGCATTGCGGATCTGAGCATAGTTGCCAGATTCTAAGCAAGCAACCGCTGCCTTGGTCATTCGGTAGTGCCATTTGTGCACTACATGACGGTAATTCTCGAACTGCAACTGATCTGCCTTATTGTTCGAGTGAGGACCCTGTTGAAACAAATATCATTAAGGTGATATCTATATTAACCTTACTTTATAAGCAATATCAAGTTTAAATTTAATAGAAATGATTATCTGATCTAAAGATAGTCTTATAATTAAATCCTGGTGTACATTTATGAGATGAACCAATTCAGTTCTCAATGAAACAGTTTAAAAAAATAAAAAGAATCAAAAGCGGGGCAGAAAGTGGCCAAGCCCCTTAAATTAAAAAGTGATATCTCCACTGATACTATAAAGGAGATACTTAGAAGGCCAAATATTTACCTTACGGAAGACCGTCACGAATCCCGGGTACTGTCCACATTCTTGATTGAAAATTTCCTCAGAAGAATGCCAACGCATAACAAATTCAAGGACTTTACACAAGAATCTTCCATATCTATGAGCCTCCTTCTCCGTGCAAATACTCACTGGAAGAGTGATATCATTGAAGATCTACGTCAGAAAATGCCGAAATTAAGTATTCATGAATAAAACTAAGTAAATTGAAAAAAAGTAGAGTTTACCCTATCAAGACAAATCAACGTTGCAAAATGAGCAGTCTTAAGTTGATGTAGGACCTGAATGAACTGAGCGGCATAGACTGCATCACTAGCAGTATAGAAAACACGAGGATAAATGCAATACTGGAGGAATTGAGCTACTGTGTCCATTTTGGTGGCAGACGTGGATTGGAACCAACTATTGCGTTCAGTGAGGAGCCAAGCTCGAATCCGATCTACGTGAACTTTGCGTTGGTCTTGTTCTCGAGCTAGACGATTTATGAGAGTTTGACAGCGCTCTTTTTCCCTACGTTTCTTGTCTGAAGTCTAAATAAAGAGTTCAAATAATATTGTTAGTGAAAACGGTCGATTCCAACCTATATAATAAAAGGAGTTACTTAAGTAATTAATGTACAATGTCAGTAAAGGCAGTTACATATGGAAACAACTTCTCAAGCCTACTAGGTGAGTGTTAAGTATTAAGATCTTTTTAGGATTACTACCAGAAAAAAAACAATGAAAGGAGCTTGTACGTGAAGATTCGCAAGATAACGCTATGAACCAAATAAACTACGAGGAATGCAAATATTACATATCATATAAAAGCAAGACCTCATCAAAATGACAACAAGTTCAATTTGTTTTAGATGGAGTAACATTATTGAGTAACTCAAGGCCTAAAACTACTATCAGCCCAACATTTCGTAAATTTAGAGAGCATTTTTTAAGCGCACCATTGTTATAACTCTTGCATTTTCTCCTGAAGGTGCACGACGTACAAATTCTTAAAGTTGCGCCCGCATGTTGGTAGGGGAGTTGAGTAGCGTAATGATATCGTCTGTTTGGCCTTAACTCAACTCACTTCTCCATTGGTAACGCGTCACTTCCCTTATAATGAACCTATCCCCACCCCCACCACCACTTCTCGATCACCATAGCTATTATCTAGATCTTTAGTGTGATTATGGTTCAAATAAATTGTCATAGAAGAATCAAACTTCAAGTAACTCAGACAAATATCTTTCCTACAGCCTCCATAAACTACTGCTTACAAGATGGGCTTAGGATATAAACTGCGGGGTTTGAAAGAAAACATAAGATTTAGAAAGAGATTATGAATGTTAGTGGACTCACCATCTCTGTACTTGCATCAATGGAGTCCATTTGAGCGCGAAGAGCGTTGCGTTGCCGTTGATAGGCAGCGGAAGGGAAGACAAGATCACCAGTCTCGAGACACCAAAAAGTGGAAAAGAAAGCAGAATCGAGGTCAACCCAAACACGAGGTGGATAGAGGGGTTCAACCGAGCGTGCCACATTGGTTATCACAGTGTGTGCAGCTTCAACATAAGCAGCCTGAGAAAACAGAAAAAACAATGATTAATACTTCAAATTTCCACAGTCTACCTTAAATCGTAATGAATGTAACAACTCGAGTTCAATTAGCTAAGAAATAACGCTTATTTCATTCCGATTTTTATTTCCTCTTTTTCGCACAATCACGCACCACAAGTAAAAAATACTAAAAATTCTGATTCTCAGAACCCCACAAATATATTTTGATGATCCCATTAACGAGTAGCATTCTAATTATTAGCAAACAAATTTCGGGTGATACCGAACAAATACATGAAAAAGCCACTTACAAGAGATCGACTTACCCTATTAGCTGCAACGCTTTTGTCATCATCACCCAACTTTTCAACCAAATTCTCAAAGAGCTGCTGAAAGGGAAAACGGTCATATGACCAATAAGAATGAACCAACATTTAATAGACGTAACAAAGAAATCTCACAGCAACATTCTGTAGGAATAGACTCCTATAGAGACAGAAGGCTGTGTCAGCCGGAACCGAGTACTCCTTCATCATCTGTTCAAGGGAGAAGCATTGAGCCTGCATTTCTTCACGAGTGAGTTGAAGACCCAGGAAGGTGATGAATTGGACCAATGTGCCTTGGCACTATTAAAGAGAAATGTCGGATGAATACGGAATCAATCACGTTGATAAAAATAATAAACTTGACATTATATACCTCATCATACAACCTCCCTGCAGTTTTCACATGCCTTTCCGGATCGTCAATGTAAAGTATAGCGTCCCTTTGGCGGGCCATTAGGAAAATTAGTGGCATTATGACCTTGTTCTCTATTAGAGCCTCCTTTAAGCGGTTGGCATTTCGTCGAGCATTGCGGATTTGTGAGTAGTACCCACCTTCTTGAAGTAGAATTTCACCACCCGTTGCTGCCTCCAGCTGTTCATCTGTCATCTCCTCATAAGAATCCAATCCTGCCATTTGGTGTACAATTTCTTGTAGGATAAGCAAGTCTTCACTAAAAAATTACGGAAAGGGCATGGCAAATATGGTGCTGTAATAATTAATAGTTTTTATACTTTGCAACAGAATTTGCATTAGTCATTTAATCCATTCATTCCATCATGTTGGCCCATAACATCACAATTCTAATTTAAGGATGACGATTTCATGGCTTTCTTCAGACTAATCAAAAGTCCTGAACAAACCCTAGTTCGAAATATCTACCATGTCCCGAATTCCACCCACTCAATAAGGACACTTGTTCCAACTCAATTTTGGGCTTATCATTTTTGAAAAGGTAATACAATGATTCTACAATTCAACTAAGCAGGAACTTTACCAGACTAAATTCATATGCTCCTATTTGACTTCCAATTTGGATCCCTTACTGGCGTACTTCGAGGTTTCGAGTATTTAGATACTATCTCATGATGCAACTTCGTATCGGAATGGGCCCTAATAGAGAAGCTAAATCGCATTCAAAATAGAGGAGGAAACAAAAGTTAGGTAAGTTGTAAACTAACCTCCTTCCAACCTTGAGTTGGTTCAAAACGTATTGAAGAATACCAGCTAGATCAAACTGATACTTTCTGCAGAGGGCCCCAGTAAAAGTTGCAAGAGCTACAAATAGTGGTTATGAGTAGCAGATAGATTACTAACCATGTAGGGTACTTCCCATTTCGATAGATTCTGTCTTATTCTTGTCTGAAGCTAGAGCCTCAATAAGGGAAACTAGAAAAGAGATTTATAATTAAAAAAGTGGTCATGATAAAGATTATCAGTTCAACGAAGAACATACAAGCAAGTACATCGTAGCCAAGATTACTGACATATTTCAAAGAATCGACAACGGGAGTGATGAGATTAGTGAACATTTGAATATTGTGAAGCATCTAAAAAATAATGAAGAATTAGAGTTGTTACAATAACAATCAAACCTGTAACCAAAGCCCATTCATTAAAGACGAATTGAAGCAAATTCACATCAAAACAAAGCATAGTAAAATTGAAGACAACAACGAAAATACAGAGATAAAAGTGACTCACAAAATCAAAGAGAACACCAGGATTGCTGTGGGACAGTTTGCCAAGATGTCGTCCCAGTTGTTTCACATTCTCTTTGCTCAGTCGTCTAGAGAAGGACACAATAAGGATAAGTACTGGAGTAATATACGACCCAGAAAAAAAAACTTGTAAATCTGAAAGCATACTTCATCAAGGCTTTGGTTCGAAGGAGAACAACAGCACGTTTCCTTATGATGGCTGGCTCTCCCTGGGTACCCATGTGTTTCCATTGTCCATAAAGCCGATATCTGTATCAGTAGACAATTAGGTTATTTAAATTCAGATTTACATGCGATTTATCTTAATCACTCACCTGTGTTCATAGGGAAAATGCTTTACAAGCTTCCAGACTTCCTCAGCAAGACAGCAGTTTGAAGATACCATAGTTAATGAAGGAAGAATAGCCTCATCAAGCATGTTAAATACAGATTGATATACGATACCCAAAGGTCCATTTTTGCTCATCTAGGACCAGAAATAAGAAACTAATGCGTGGGGAAACAAAGACGTGGAAGGAGAGGAGACTAGTATAACTTACCAAGTCTGCGACATAGACAGAGCAAGTACGACATAATTTGACCATAAGAACAACATCGTGAGAAAGATAAGGACCCAGATAACCAACAATTGGCAGAACTTCACGAGCCAGAGACGTGAAATTGGTAGCCTGCTGAACTTTTAGCCTTTCAGCGCTCTCGGGAGTACGAAACAGTTCTGGTGAAGCAGGCTTCCTGCGTTTCTTCAAAAGCGACGGTGGTAATGTTGAGTTGCTATTTACATAGAAAATAACGTTAACAGATAAAACCTCGATCATGCTATGAAAGAACTATGAACCAACCTTTCATAAAGAGGATCAATAAGATAGTGGACCAGATCACAGATAGCTCGATTGGTCGATGGATGAGAAGCGATCCAGTGACCAGGAAATCGGTCTAGAATCATCTGGGCAGCTTTCCAGTCACCTAAATTCACTAACGCAGCACAAAGGTCCAACTTTTGGTTGTTTGCGAACTATAAGAAAAAAATGAGATAAAATAATAGCTTGAAATCAAAGAAGATAAAACAACCTACTTTATATGGAGTCTAGTTTCTTTTATGCCAATCATTTTTAACCAATATTTATTTACAAATGTGATCGAATAGCATTCTTCCTCAATGACTCGAAGTTATCCAATAAGAATTATGTAAAACCTTTAATTCCTTTAATCTTTCGCAATTAACACACTTCAGGTAGTACTTAAATTAGAGTTGCAAACCAGTAAAAAAAGATAGATACCAACCAAATCATCTTTCTGTTTTGAGAATAACAAGGAAATATTCGGGAAAAAATAGAAAACAATTTGTCGGTATTTCAAGATGCGTTAAAGTTGTTAGCTAACACAGCATTTGCTTTAAGAGTTTAAACCATTCTTTACTCATCTACACGGTGACAAAATAGTGGATGATGACACTGGAACCCACCTTAATCGAGGAGTGAACAACTTGTATCACGATGATTCGGCATAAGATGGAGACCATGAAGCTACTGTGGATAGAAGAAAACAACACAACAGGCGATCTGATTGTGCTTACACAGTGTGCTGGCAACCCAATAGTGGATTTATTTTAAACCTATTACATTTTGTAGCTGGCAACAATATCTTCAAATTTATCCCCAACACCCTGTGTATCAAAGAACAATCGCCCCAAAGCTTATATGTGCATTCAAAATGTTAAGAAATGTGTACTTATCGCCTAGAAAGAAAAATTCATTCTAACCACCAGTTATTCTCGCATGATTTAAAGCATGCAATTTCTAAAACTGCAAAGAACTGATGGAAAGTTGTTCAAGTTTTATGAAATTGGATGGAAGAAAAATATCTCTTGAGAATGTCACCTGACAGCTCTAAGGGGTGCTCACCTGGAATTCTCCACAGTCAAAAACTTCACTTTCATTCTCCGGAGACCATCCTTCACCCTTCTCTTCCTGTTCCTCTTCACCACCACGTTTTCCATTGGAAGCTAAGGAGGTTGTGCCGACATTCCAATTGTCTGGTTCAACGCCGCCGTTCCCAACGGCAGAAATCGATGAAGAACCAGAATTAGAGGGGAGACTTCTTAAAGGAGCGTCGCCTAAAATACTCCCACTCCCTCCATTAGCAGTTGTCGAATTTCCCGTAGCTATGAAACTGTCCAAACTCCCCTGAATAGCAGAACCCGAGGATTGGAAAGCAGGACGCCAGGATTTCGCATCACGAATACTCTTCGTTCGACCTGCGTGAATAGTCGCATCTGATGGTAGCAGCTGGAAAATCAAGAGAAGCATAAGTCCGTAACCAATCAAATGAGGTGGAAGTACAACGACCAAGTAGACATACATGAGCCAGAAGAATGTCAACGTCAACCAAATTATAGGAAATGAGTAGAGCAGCAAGACGATGCAAAGATTCTGGGGTAATGGAATCTCTTTCCTGAATTTCATTGATTAAATTATGGTCTTAAATTTTTTCGGCTACCTGGTAAAACTGAAACTTGTGCCCCAGAATATTCGTTGAATCGATTTTATCGGGGTTGTAGAGACGAAGAAGATCAATAAAGAGGCTGACAGCATCACGTCGAATTTCAAACACATCAAAAATTATGTCCAAAACTCTATTGGGGTCGAGGTCGAAGTAGCCGATAAGAGAACGAACATGAGTGAGACAACCTTCGGCTGAACTGACTGGAGTATTGCTCAAGTCAATCATCAATTTGGCATAACCTTCACTCTCTTCTCGAAGTAAGTTGAACTTCTGCTGCTTATAAAATAAGCGTGTTTTGATACGAACGTAACGAGTTCGAGTTTGAGAATGAGAGCTGATAAGGGAAATCTGCTCCAGGGTTTCATCTGATAAGCGCTCCAAAAGAAGTGAGGAATCTATCGAATTGTTGCATGTCGACAGAACCTTTAAGAAACGTTCCTTAGCCTGGACATCAGCGATGTCAGACATCGTGACATCTAAAGAAACTAGTGAAAAGAAAACGACTTCTACCTACCAAGCAACCATAGAACATCAGCAAGCCTTGAAGAAAACTCCTCGACATTGAAAATCTAGAAAATTTATTCAGTAGATTGGATGAAAATATACCTTTAATAACTCTGGAATCAATTTATTTATTATGTCAACCTTTCCATCGCCAGAAATTAGCTTAATGAATAGATCAGAGAGGTTTTGAATACAAACGTCAATGTCATCCTTAGATTGTTGAATGCTGTAAAGTTGAAAATAATACCAATAAGTAAATTTAAAAAATCCAATTCTAAATTATGCTCACATTTGATTATCATAAACATACATAATGGATTACAAAACAGAACCACAAGTTAAATGAAAAGCAAAGAGAGTAAAAGATTATTCCCATAAGGCTTACAAGTTTGTAAGACCAAATTTATTCCAATCTTTTAAGCAAGATGAAATTAACTTTGGATTAGCACAAAGTGAGGCTAGCGCTTCCATGTCAAAACAAACACACAAACAGGTACCAGCATAAACACACTGTGTAATTAAACTTTAAACAGAACTCTATTAATTTGTTAGGATTATGTGGAGGTTTATTTGATCAAAGTTTTATAAATCTTGTTTATTTTATATTTATATACTCATTTAGTTCAAGTTTAAGAGATCAGTTGTAAATTCTCTCTATTGACCCTCAATTACCTCAAATTGCAGTATAAAAGAAACGAAAGTCAAGATGCTGATTTCCCTCCTTGTGAAGTATTTATCACGGTACTCCTAAATGCCTGTCGCGTAAGTTGGCTATTTGTTAATCTCCTTTTATCCGTCGATTACATGAACAATACTATGAATGAAATAAAAGACGTATATTAATAGCCGTACTTATCTATGTATCAATTCCTTATTTTCAACAGACTTATTCATAGTTTCGAAGCCACGGATTTTTATTACGTAGAGGTACAAATTGCATATAAATTATTATTGACCGCTCAGTGTAATACTAACTTTTATTGAAATGTATGTAGCAATGTAGAAAATAGAAGTGTTATAAGTGAAATTATATTATTTATATGAGGAGTGGGATAGACTAACCTCCACCTGGTGTACCCTGGGTAACGTAAACTCATACGCCAAAAATGTCTAGCAACCGGCATTTGACTTCTCACTTCAAACTACCTTCACACCACTGTATATCATATTCGACAACTTCCACGCTATTCACCTCACCTTTTTTCAACCTTTGCGTCTGTCTCTTTTGCATCTTTGAAACACACTTCTGTTCC